CTTGCACGAATAAAGGCATTTCTAGTTTCAAGTTACTATTTGAATGTTATTATCTTTGGTGTAAATTACTCTGTTTCTATACTTGGTTGATGAGATATGTCGTGTGTTTGTTGGTCATCTATATTCTACGATACAATGACATGGGCGTGTTGCCGTTCAGATTTGAGGATATAGCTGATAGAAGGAAGTTAGCAAATGAACTCTGCGACGATTTTCCAACCTAGGGCGTCAACCTGAGAAGGGTTGTAGGCGTACTGGTGTAAGTCCTACAGTTCTTCAAAGGGTAGCGCATCAATGAGCAGTCCAATGTGCTTGGTGTATGATCTTGTACATATGTTCATATTGTATATACTGAATTGATATCATCTGTCATCTAGCTGTTGGTAATTCTGTTTGTGTCCGGACGACTTCCACTTGGATCATCAACCTGAGAAGGAATGTAGGCGTACTGCTGTAAGTCCTACAGTTCTTCAAGGGTAGTTTGTCGTGTCAGAATCCACAACATTTGATGTGTTGATTGTACATATGTTTGTGTTAAATAGTTGTGTGAGTTCCAATTGATGTAATTGTTGGTTAATCTTGTTTGTGTCTGGACATTCCACAACTTACAATCGTCAACCTGTGAAGGGTTGCAGGCGTACTGGTGTAAGTCCTCCAATTCTTCAAAATAATTCCACCAAGACATGATCCGCGAGGTTATTTGTACTGTTTGTGTATACGTGTGGTGTGTCTTCGCAATTTGTGATTTTGGATCAGTTGTGTTTACTCGTTGTTTTCGTGCCTTGTTTTTATTGCATAATTTTGTTAAAATTTTCGTCGTGATTACTTCTGAAGTTGTTTCTTGTCTTCTACATCCGTGAATGAATTGATTGATGTTAGAGACAGCAGATGGGTCGTATACGCCGGGGAGGCTAGGCTATTGCTGAGAATGAAATGCACACGGAGATAATTGTTAGCTGCGGTCCGACACGCCGGGGAGAAAGAGTGTAAACGACTGAGGCTCGCATGCGTCACCGCTACTAGAACTGAGGCAGAATGAGTGACAAGCGATTTCAGTGGTAATTGGTAGTGAGTAGATAAGAGGATGTGCGTAGAGTATCGTGAGGTGCTGCCATGGTCACTTTGCATTCTGCAAGAGTCATTCTAGCAAGTGGCGATTGTGTTGCAAGATGTCAAGAGGAGGTCTCTGTCTGGAGGCGCAGGTCGTCATTGATGTGTGAGATTGTGCTGTGGGTATGCTTGTGGTGTGTTGGCTTTTCTGTTTGTTTTCCATTTCAGCTCTGTCCGTGTGACCCAGGTTCTCGCAATGGCATCCAAGTCAACGTGCATTGGTCGTGAAGGAAAAAAGGGTTGGATCCCTTTTTTGCCGGGGAGTGTCAATGGAGTTGAAGATTGAACGATCAATTCTTGGTTGTTTGCTCAAAATCAACTTCCCCAATTTTCGCGGAGGCATCAATACGACAGTCATCGTCTCATCGGTCGCTGTTCAGAAAGAAGAGTAAAACATCGTCAGAAGTAATCATGATTTATTATTGTAATATTTGTTTTCAGAACTTAGTTCGCTTATTCCTTTTATATGTTGGTGTAACAATAAACAAATAACAAGCGGCAGATCGGTGTTTTGGTTTTTTCGTCCGTTATAACTAAGCGTTTCTGAAAACTCAAAGGAACAGCATGGGCCCTAGCGTAGCGAGAGCTGGGCATTAACGGTTTATGAGACGTGATTGACACTACCGTGATACGCAATACATGCCCGCCTACTGTTTGTACTGTCAATGAACACGGACTAACACTCTTACACAAATTCTTATCTATTAACGACACGGCCGCTCCTGTATCTACTAAGCATACTACTTCTCGATCATTTACTCGCAATTTTGAATACACAGCCCCTTTCTCAATAGCCCTACTAAATCTAGGTTTATACGAGAGAAAGAACAAGTATTATACCGTCTGAAATTTTTTCTTTTCCGCGTTTCTGGGCAGTATTTTCTCCAGTGTCCCGGCTTACCGCATTCAAAACATCGGTCTTTTCTATCAGCCAACTTTAACGCCACCACTTCCCGCTGCAATGCTTCAATTTTCTGCTCATATTCGTTTGGTTTTGGCTGCTCTATAGCGGCTACAGTTGTGCTCACCAGCTGTCTGGTCACCTCCGTAAGCTCACTAATATCCATCGGCTGCGTTGCGTTAACCAGCTGTAATCGCTGAGAAATGTGGTCTGGGACACTCTGTGGGATCCCTAGGCTGACAACGTTCATTTGCAATGTATAATGCTACACGTATATCTCGTACTATCATGATGTCCACTTTTGGTTTTAATACATTTATCTCCATGCCAGTTGTTTTTGTTTTATACCTTTTTGTGCATTTAGTGCACAACCGTACCCTTCAGAGAGTAGGAATATAATAAGTCATAAAGAGCTGTAAAACGTTAGTTTTAATGGGGTAAAATGAGGATGAAGTAAAGACGTTATTAGAAAATAAATGAGATAAGACATTTTGAAGTGGTATGTAAAGATCTGACGATGGATAGCAAGTTAATTTATAAGATGCCCCATAAATCTGTGCAGATCCCACATGGTCGCATCTCAACAATAGGCTGGGCGAATGGTATATATTTAAAGGTAGAAGCATGATCTGTCAAGGCGTTCACTATTATCTTTTTCAAGATAAAGATCTAAGCCCTCATAAAAATCAGAAATATCTCGAGCCTTCAAATTGTATATTGCTGTTCCTGCAGAATGGGGCGTTTCACCTTAGTGACCACCACCATATCTACTGATCAGCTAGCGCCACCCTCCCTTCTTTTTTGATGTTAGGCTCTGAGATTATGATTATTATGGCTACCGCAAATATATTGCTTGGTACCAGACATGTTCGTACCTCATATTCCATCTCCCTAGCTTTCTTATTGAGTGCTTCCAATAGGTCTCCTAGTACATCTTTATGAACATATTATTATGTGTGCATGCGTCTAATGAACAGACTACTTTATAAGAAGTCAAAACCTTAAAGAGTAAAAAGAATAGGTTTCGTGAATAGTGGAGCAAGATTTCTTCCAAGACACTGTGCCATTTGACCTGTCTACGCTGTCATATGCCGCCTTCGCTCGGCCTCTCAACAGGGTCCCCAGAACAACTGCCTTAGCCGCCAGCTCCTTGACACCCACCAGCTCAAAAACGGCCTCGAAGTCACGTAAGAAGTCCGTACGTCTCCTTCTTCAAACGCAGTTGGCCACGGCATCTTCATTTTTCTGGAGGCAGCGACATCAAATGTAAGAAGAGAAGACAAGGGCCATGCAACAGATCGATTTATTACGAAAATCAACGCGTATTTATATATATTTTATGTACATTAATAAGGCTTATGCAAGCAGAAAAAGGCAGTATTCTAATTGGTTGTTTCTCGGAAGTTAAGCAGACATACACAGTCTTCTGATTGGTTGTTTTCGATATTTCTCGGAAAATAGAGCCATTTATCTGCGAATCATATTTGCCCACGTTTAAGTCTGCTGTGATTGGTTGTTGAATCAGCCTAGATTAATGTCTACCGATCAGCGTCGATTAATGTCTACCAATTGGCTAGCAGCCTGCTCTCACCACACTAGTACTCAGTGATAAGGATATCCTTACCCTTAGCAGCACAGTACATACTATGCTGACAAGTCTAAACACAATTGTGTAAATCCTTGCGATTAATATCTGCCTCTATTCTTGGTTGCTACTTGAAATCGTCCTCTCAAGCAACGAATATCATGTTTTGAGGTATGATTTTTGAGCTGCTAATCACCCGTAGATTTGCCTTCAGCTTATTCGATTGAATTTTGTGTACTTTCTTGTAGAGTCGCCGAAGGCGATCCTCCCTAAGGGGGAGAAGAGATGGAACTCAAGGATAACAATATCATGACTAAGGACATGAGATTTCAATACTGAATCACCTCTTTTTACGTTTGCTGACATTAATTCAATGCATATGTGCTAATTATGATGTGATTGTTATCCTGACCAAAGTACAAATCTACTGATCCACCTTTCAGTGAACCAATCTTGAGTCCTAGAGGGGCTCTTTTTCAGATTTTTTCATCTTAAGTGGTTTATTCATGATTCTGGTGACTTATCGACGTAAAGTTCTTGGATTTGTTGCGTTGAGCAGTGAACAGAAAGTGTTTATGACATCTGTGAATAGACATATTTGGCGGGATTTTGTGGTGTGTAAATGCGACATGGCGCCAATGTCGTATATATATATATACACTTTTGTATGTGGAAGAGCATGTGTCGAGAAATTCCTATGAATATGAGTCTTGTTTGACAAGACAATATATTTTTTCGTTGGGCTGCCGAAGGCAATTCACTACATAATGGGTTGGAAATTTTCATCAAACGCGTTATACGTGTCTGTCCCCTAAATGAGTCTTAGTCCTTGATTAGGCATACATTTGAACACGAAAGTGGTATCTGAATCTTCTCAGAGTACATTGAATGATTTAACACAATGTTTGGAAATAATCTACCTACGCAGTTGTTCTTCTACCTCTTGAAAACTTGAGTGATTCTCGTTTTTCCCTGTGCTGATACAAGGTTTGGCGACAGGATGTGAGGTATTTGATATAGTGGTTGCGTTATTTTAACTTGTATTTTCTGAAACAACATACTCACGAGAAATTGGTGGTAAAACATTTGCAACAAAATATGCTTTAAAATGACTACACAAGTTGTTTTTTAGTTAAGTATTTTATTCAATAAAAAGTTATACGACAATATTTCGATTTGAATTTATGTGCAGACGAATTTTGAAGGAACAAACACAACAGATATGGTGTATCCACAACATTCAATCAAAGTGTAAAAGAGGAAAGAAAAAAAACTATTGTATAACACTTCTCACTTAGCTTTAAGTTTTTGTTTGATAGAAAAATTTAATATACTATTAATAGATATTCACAATCAATATGAAGATTTAAATTTTTTGGGGTATAAGAATCACAATGATTGTATTTAGCTACCTTGATCTACTGATTTCCAAACATAATTGCCAGAATATTGGAAACCTGCTCGTTTACACAAATCATCTGCTTCTTTGGGACCATTTCGACTGTAATGAGAGAATGAGAAAATAAAATGGGATATAACAGCGCAGTTTTATGTATTTTTTTTCAATGATGTTTCTGTTGAACATATAATAAAAAGATTTCTGTCGAAGATTTCTTTTTTTGCTACAAGAAATACAGTAGGGAGACCCTATCATTATGATGAATAGGAAGTCCACGTAAATAGTTTACTATGATGAACTATATAAGCTCGATTATCAGTGACATGGGACTCCAAGTGAACATAGACAAGACGAAGGTGATGAAAATAACCAACCACCAACAACAACAGCAGGAACATCCAGCGTCAATCACCATCAACGGGAGGGATTTGAAAGAGGTTACTGCATTCACTTCTCTAGGTAGCATTGTCTCAACTACACGAGGAACGGACGAGGATGTCAAATCGAATGAGAATCGGGAGGCGAGAAACACATTCATCAACCTGAAATCAGTCTGCAAATCTTCGTCACTCAGCATCAACAACAATATTCGGATTTTCAATACAAACGTCAAGTCAATTCTTCTATACGGAACGGATCAGAAACTTGGCGAACGGGCGGGTCACAAAGAATATTTCCAACAGCCTGTTGCAGACACTACCTTTATCAACCAACAACTGTCTTCGCTGGATCTATACTGAAGATCAGATGGCCGGGTCGGAAAGAATCACCAACAAGAAACTATGGCTGGGAACAAACAAAACAAGAACCAATCAATCGCCAACCAACAAATATGCAGGAGAAAGTGGAGATGGATTGGGCACTCGCTGAGTGACATCGCGCGCGCTCGAGTGGAACCAGGCCGAAAGGGAAGCGGCGAGTGGAACGTCTGTGCAAGAGTGACATGGAGGAGATCGTGTGATGTAAAGAGGAGTTGAAACAGTATGGACTAACTAACATGGATTGAGGTGAAAAGTACAGCAGAAGGAAGACAGAAGCAAGTGGAGACGTGCAGTTGAAGCCGTATGTTCGACTAGGAACCCAAGGGAGCAACAATATAATAATAATATCAGTGATACGGACATGACTTATAATATGGGAACAGTCTTCTTAAAAAATTAGCTCTCTACACAACTGATTAAATCTATTGGCCAAGAAAGCTACTAGACGATTATAACGAAAGAAGAAACTCTCTAGAAATTGAATGATACTCATTCGTTTTGGGGAACATTTACAAAACTAATAAAAGCCAAGAGATATTGGAGAATTATTCTATCCTAGTCTGAAGTTCATCAACGCAGTGCGACTGGAGAGGTCTACAAAGTTCAGTGTACAGACAGATTATCAATAGATGACATTGAATGAAGTTATTTTTTTTAGGGTGGGGGGGGGTTGATTAAATGACTGCTGCTTATGTCAACTCAAAAGTTGTACATGCTTAGCTGGGACTCAATATAACATATCTGATATTTAACGTGAACAGGTGAACATAGAGGAGACAGGAGTGGGGAAGATAACCAACGAACGAACAGCAGCAGCAGCAACAACAACAACAACCGGCACAAATCACCATCAATGTGAGAGATTTGACAGAGGTTACTTCCTTCACTTATCTATGAAGCATCGTTTCGAATACAGGCGGAACGGACGAGGATGCTAAAGCAAGCCAGAATCGGAAAGGCAAGATACGCCCTCATCAAACTGAAATCAGTTTGGAAACCTTTTGCATTCATTTAGCATAAGGAACAAGATTTGAATTTTCAAAACAAATGTGAAGTCAGCCAGTGTTTCTATGCAGATCATAAACTTGCACTGCGTGTGTCATGAAAAGGATTTTCAGCAGGTTGCAGACTTTTATCAACAGCTGCCTTCGCCCCACACTGACTAAAAAAATGGCTGACTGACTGGCCAGAAAGAATTAGCTACAATAAACTCTGGTTGGGAATAAACTAACCAAGGACCTATCGTTCAAAAAATATGTAAAACAAAAAAATGGAGATGGACCAGGCATACATTGAGAAGCCCGCGTATGAAATCGCTCGCCAGGCCTTCGAGTGGAATTACAGTGGGAAGTGATGAGTAGATCATCATCCTAGGGTGACATGAGGGAAGTAGTTTGAGGAGGAGATGAGAGATTGTGGGCGATCGTGGCTCAAGCTGAAGAGGGCGGTAGAAGATAGGACAAAGTGAAGATGTGTTGTTGAAGCCCTATGTTCCATTCGAAACTCAAAGGAATAATTATAACAGTTTTCAAGTACTTGTTTTTGTAGGGATTTAGTTTGATTGGTTGGAGGATGACGTTAGTTTTTTTGGAGTGGATTGAAAGACTGCTAATATTAACTCAAAAGTTGCAGATGTTTAGCTGGGACTTAATACATAACATATCTGATTTTAAACGTGAAAGACTCATAATTCACTATCGAGACTTATTGAAGGTGAGGCAGTAACTCACCGAAGAAGGCATTATGAAGTTGTTGCACTATATCATGAATTGGCAGAAGTTAGAATTCATGGGCCGTTGGATCGGGTCCCAGTGGCTTAATGCTCTACGAGCTCGCCTTGTAACCAGAATGTCCTGGGTTCAAACCTCTGTGGTGGGCGCGTATTGATGAAGAGTCCCAGACTAGGATGAAACGGCTGTCTAGTACTCCTCGCAGGTTTTCTAATGGTTCTCTAACTGATGTCACCTCATGATGAAATCCTCCAACCAAATAATAACAATAATAATGAAAGTGATCACACTGAAAGTGACGACGTGGACCCCACTACTCAGTAGCTAGCACATAGTCCATATATTCATACTGTTATAGTAAAACTTCTGCAGTATCTATAAATGTTTTGTTCGGCATAACTTTAGCCAACTTATGTCATTTCAATACAGTCTTGAGACGATAAACGATGAATAATGTTAACAAGAACTTTGCTATTTGTGAGTTAGATACAGTTAGACAAGTAAGATATGTATATGTAAAATTACCTTCCGTAAATATATGGATATGGTTTGATCTTATTTTCTTCTAAATGATTCAATATCGGTGTTAATATACGCCAAGCTTCACGTAGTTCATCACTGCGTACAAAGTTTGTTTGAACTCCACAGAATACATCTAAAATTAATCTTTCATAGGCGTCTGGCAATTTGATGTGCTAAAAGTAAGAAAACAAAAAAGAAATAAAAAAGAAAACAAAAAAAAACACAACAGAATATTTGATTCATACTTTATATCTGTTAGCATATGTAAGATCTAATTCAGTGATTTCTGTTTGAATTTTCATTCCAGGAGATTTCACATTCAATTTAATATAAACTGCTTCATCAGGTTGTACGCGTAGGACTAATTCATTACGCGGTACGCCCTCTGTTCCAAATACGTGAAAATGAGGTTCTTTGAATTGAACTCTGACTTCAGCCTTCCGTTCATTCAACGCTGGTGCAAACAAAACAAAAAGATAAAAGTAAAAGTACACACATTAGCGCTTCATACCTCTGAGTTGTGCGATAATATTCACTAGTTAATAAAAATACATCATTATTTTTATTTTATTTTTGATTACAGCTTGATTCCACAACGTATTTTTGGTACAGGTATGGAATTTTCAGCATGTGATATTGGTAGCCCAAATTTTGCAGGCCGACCATAGATATCAAGTGTACGTCAGTGGGGGCTCGAACTCCGAACCATGTGCATGATCGGCGAGAGTCCTAACCACTGTGCCACCGACGCACATTATAATAACTGACAATAATGCGCATACGAACAAATTAATTAGAAAAATCAACAACAAAAAGCTGGTGATATTTCATTAAAAAAATATTATGAAACGTGGAACAATCATGGCAGCAGCCATTTTGGCGATACCGGTACGGGCACAAATGTTATCACCAAGATAAGTGTGTAGTCAGGACTGTATATTAAAATTTTTTATTCATAAATACTCGAGTTGTCACAGGTATTCATAAAAAATAGGTCATTATTTGCAAGTAATTTTATGAACCCTCCAACATAGGGCTTCAAGCTAGAGGCTTGAAGTTTCTGCAGCAGTGATCATTTTTACAGGATGGGGTTGCTAGCCTCATACCCAACCTTTCCTCTTTACCAGCTTTATTGTTGGCTTAGTGAGGTAAAGGAGTGCGTCGGTGGCCGGGGGTCGAACCCCAGACCATGCGCTTGGTCGGCGACGCACTTATCAAATTTAAATGACCAATATATATTCATGGTAAAGCCTACAATATCTGGTCATTTAGGAAAAATATCTTATTCGATTAAAAATTTACGACGAGTTTAATATATCCCAGGACCTTTTCGCCGTTTGTCCTTATACAATCAGTGAATGTAGTATAACTTTCCATATATGCATAAATTGTATGAAAGGGAATAATAACGGTTGATGATTGTAATAAATGATTGCAGACAACTCACTCTATCCAGGAGAATTAGTTAGATGGATCGAGATGGTCTCAATAACAATTTCGACGTCTGCTCTTGGCTCAGTTTATCAGGAAGGCACTTATACTAGATAGCATGCAAATAAACGATTCAATGCGTCATCGTTTTGTAAAAAAGCGATTAGCTGAAAGTTTAATCCCTTGTAAAATTTAGCCAGATGAGTAAAATCAATGTCTTTTGACACCATCAAATCAAAAGCATTTCGTCTCCGTTTGAATAATTCATGAATACTCAAATTAATCGTTATTGTGTGTTATACTGTGGTGAGAGCTGTCTTTTAGCCAAAATTGGTAGACAGCAATTTACGTCAGTGTTTACGTCCGAAATCTCGGTGATGAGAAAAAAGCATGAACAAAGTCTAACTCAACAACCAATCACAGCACACGTAGAGTAGGTGGATACGATTAGCAGATATATATCACCGGACTGTCTAAGAAACGGCAACAAAGAGATGACAGAATAACCTTCAGCAGGAAAACAACCAATCAGAGGACGTTACCTCTCTTTGCTAACAAAAACGAATAATAAATATACATAAAAATCTATAAACATCTGTTGATTTCCTCAATAAAGGATCTGTTGCCTGGCTCTTGTCTTCTGTCGTTACAATACAACTTCCATGTCAAAATCCATATTATCGACAAGCTTATTAGGCGCAGCTCATATTTTATTCTCAATATTTTGGTTTATAGCAGAAGATTTCTCTTATCCTCTGCTTTATAACTCCTAAATGCCACACTTAACCACAAGTGATTTTGCCTTAGAAAAGAATGATTCCAAGCTTGACCACTAACTGGTTTCAGTAAGAGGAGCACTGAAAACCACAGTGTACTTGGACACCTATTTCGTCCTAGATCTGATCTCATTATTAATGTGTACCGATGACCCCACAAAGGATCAAAATCAGAACCTTCAGGTTGTAGGGAGACCTCGTTGACCATTCAGTCAGTGAGACGGAATCCGGTGGCCCGTCAATTCATGATAGGTATTGGGAGTGTCTTTAACATGAAAGCTGTGCGTTCGGTCCCTGGTAGGGTCATGAGTGCATGTTGCTGAAGAGTCCGGAGATAGGACGATGGAACTGTTTAGTACTCTCTGGTTTTTAATAGTTATCCAAATGAAGTCAGTCAATGATCAGACTTGAAATCACTCAAATCCTTACAAACTAACACTTAAAAAGAATGATTTCACCACTCATGACTTCTTCACCTACAAGAAGCAGTTGGTCAGCAAACAGAATAACTCATAACAAAAGTTATTTAGAAATAAATAAGCCAAATCACCTAACTCAGTGAGAAAAATCACATTCATTGACATCGAATCAATTCAGTAACCACAAAAACAGGAGTGTGAAAAAAACAAACATTTAAAGCATGCAAGTCAACAGTGCTAGAGACAATCCCTTTTAAATAGAAGAGCACTAAAAAACGACTTTAAAAAAGGAGGAAAAACGAAATTAAAACACACACACTAACCTTTTCCAGCTCGTAGAATAAACGGAACACCTTTCCAACGATCATTTTTCACATATAACACAGCACAAACATAGGTAGGAGTTATGGAGTCTGAAATTTTGAGAAAGAAAAATTTAGAGAGGAGTTGCCTTCAATGTAAATACTCATTATACAGAGTAATTAAAATCAGATTATTCAAGTGTTGGTTTGTAGGGGTTTGATAGGTTACAGGAATGAGCTGACATTAGTTAGAAAGACATTGGAAAACCTGCAAGGAGTACTAGACAGCCGTTTCATCCTAGTTTGGGACTCTTCATCAGTACGCGCCCACCAAAGAGGTTTGAATCCAGGACATCCTGGTTACAAGGCGAACTCGTAGAACATTAAGCCACGGTGACCCATTCCAATGGCCCATGAACTCTAGCTTCTGCCAATTCACGACATAGCGCGACCCTTAGTCAGAGTCTGCAGCGAGTATTTGTCCTCACACCGACCTTCTGCACCTTACTGGTCACGACTTCTCACTAGAACCCCAGAAGGTCCTGGGTTCGAATCTCGGTGGGTGCGTACTGCTGAAGAGTCCCAAACTAGAACAAACAGCTGTCCAGTACTCCCAGGTTTTACAATGGTTCTCTAACCAATGTCAGCTCATGATGAAATCCTGCAACCAATAAAATCAGATTAACTCACTTAATGATGCAAGCTGATTAACATAAGTCAACATTCCATTCAGACGAGCTGAAATACATAATGTCTATATTACTTTATTACTTTAAATATCAGCCTACGCTATCTACTTTACATCTACACATATATCTACAGTCCTGTACATTAGACTGTTTGGCAAGCATGACACAACAACATAAGATACCCAGTACTATTTACATCAAAAGAAATAGGAATGCAATCAACTAAAGGTGATAACATAGTCTGCGACATGTAAAATTATCAACGCTAACATTTGTGCGCCATATGATAAAGTAGTGAAACGATGAACTTCATTGACCCCTACAGCTCTTGTGTTGTTGAAATATAATCAGAAGTAAATAAATTCATGTTTCAATATAGCAAAAATATTCACTCAGACATAAAACACCAAATAATTGACCAAAGAATATCCTATTCGATAAATTCCTATTCCGGCTCTACAATTATATACATGTTTATTTGCATAGAATATTTTAGAAGAGTAGTCAGTAACAATATTAGTATTTTTTTAAAATAATATCGATTTGTTAAGTAAGATCAATAGAATAACAGTTCATTAAAGATGCTTAACTTATAATAGTAATAATAAAGATGTAATAGCAAATAGAATATCAACTAAAATTAGGAAATTGATATAAGATATAAAATTAGGAAAATTCACCGAAATCGAGGATCATTCAAACCTAGATGGTCAAGGAAAGGATAATGTCTGAACTAACTTCCTTTGGATGCACAAATTAGGCCTCTTAAAATGGATCCTTACAGCCTCAGCAATATTCAGTGGTCGAACTCTTAAGGCAAAATTGAGATTTGTTGGTATGCGGTAAATGGCCCTGAAAGCCTGGTTAACATCAGTCTTGTATTCTGTATCCACAAGGTGAGATAGAATAACGCTGCGAATAGATTTTGTTTGTCCTTTGCTTAACTACACAGGGTGATGTTCGGAAATCCGACGATAAACACGCCTAAATGTGCGGTCTATGTAACTGGCTTATTCTACAGGAGCGGTTAAATTGGTAGATACACATAGAAGAGGCGAAATTAGACAGTTCGTCTTTTACTCCCGAACGCAAAAGAGGGGTGGTTTTGAAGACACACTCTATAAAGAAATCTTTCGTTGAATGGACACTAAACAGTCGCTAACTCATGTGTTTAATCCCTCATTTGATGCAGATTGAATTCTATCAGTCAAGTTTGCAATATAGCCACTATGTTAGGTGACGCGTCAAAACAGTGCACTACTTTGAATTGTAGTTGGATCGATGGAGGCAATCAACAAGAAGCCCTTCCCGAACTAGGTTTCCTGATTGTTAGCCCTTGTTCGTAAGACGTATCTGTAATCTTGAAGGAATTCATGTCCCTTCAGAAATTCGAACCCGTGTCAACCAGTTCTGCAGTCAAAACTACTGTTACTGAGTTATTTGAGCTTATAACTAGCCTCCTGTATGAGATAATTGCACTGTAAAGTTGACTGGTAAATTCGGTCTGCACGAAACAAACAACCAGAGACGCATGACATTAGTTACTACCCAGTGTTCAATCAAAGTATCCAATACAGACGTGCAGGAAGTCAATCACGAGTCTGAAAAGCGCAGTGGTAACATCTCTGACTGCACCACTGGGTAACACAGGTCCGGATCTTGGAAGGCGTATACGTTTCTTCAAAATTACACATACGTCTTGCTGACGAGTGTCAACAGACACCAAAACCTAGGTCAGACGGCCGACTGACCTACCGACTGCCTGCAGCTATTTAACGAGAAGTCTTTGGTGCGTACACTGAGACCTCTATTTAGAAAGAAACTGTTTATATTTTATAAATAAAGTACTACTTCCAATAGTTTTGACAAATAATGCTAAATATCCAAACAACAGGACGTCGCAAATGCCCTAGAACAACTTGAGCTCCGAGTATGATTGATTCATTAGAAAATTATTCAAAATGATCTCAGTGTATTTCAAAATATGTAAACACGTAGAGACTATGGTCAATGATAATGTCTTATAAAGATCTCAGCGAAATTGAAATGATTAATTCCAACGTTTCGTTCGGCAATCTGGTCCGAACTTCTTCAGGGAAATTAATCGAAATTAACATAACAAAGTTTAAATATAAAGGGACACATCTTGTTTTTTAAAATTTTGTCCAATCATGAGTCATGCAACAGTTATCAATATGTATAATAAATAAATAAGTAGAATTGTATGTTTATATAAAAGTACATCTCTTATTTTTTTAAATATGAATCAATAGGTATACTAAACAAAACAAAACAAAAATTGTATGAACTATGATCAAAAACTTTTTGACCTCAGACTTTCAAATTTGTCTACTTTTGTTAAAATATATGTGTATATGTAGTATATGCAGGATACAATGGTGTGTGTGTGTGTGGGTGGAACAGTCATAAAACATTTGCTATTCTCATATGAGCTGTGATCAAGATTTGACCGGATAGTTACAAAATAATTGACATTTTTATAAATATAATTTAATTTTTATAGATTTGTTATTCTCTCCATGACTCATGATGGACAAAAATTTTAAAAAACAAGATGTGTCCCTTTATATTTAAACTTTGTTATGTTAATTTCGATTAATTTCCCTGAAGAAGTTCGGACCAGATTGCCGAACGAAACGTTGGAATTAATCATTTTAATTTCGCTGAGATCTTACAAATATAACTTTATAAATGTCTACTTCTCACTCAGCGCTCAATTATTTTGCAACTATCGGTCAAATCTTGATCACAGTTCGTATGGATAATGTCTTATATTGGAGAACCGTCATAAACACAGTACATGATCACTGTACCACGTACATGTCGGTATATATGAAAATGTTATGTCCTAAATAACATGTCAACATTACGAAAGAAGCATACTTCCATAGAAAATCAATAACAATAAAGAATTAACTTTCAAGTACTCTAAAACTTCACATGTTTAACCGGAAGGTAGTAAATGAAATAACACACACACGCACACACACAAAGTGTAGCATTAAATGCATGACCAATTCACTTTCACAATTATTTTAGTTAAAATAGTATAATTTTCGTCTTTATAATCAATTATTATGTGGTAAGTAGGAGTATCTGCTGATCTCTAACGATCTAGTGTATTAGTTTTTTTTTTGAAATAGCACGCGTTGTGTTGAATTTCAATGGACAGTTATTTTTATATTACAAAAATTATACATAGTAAAAAGTTCAAATTGTTTTTCACTGTTTCATAATTACTACTGAATTAAGTTGCCTTCACAAAAATATAACAACAAAACGAGTCCATTATTATTGTAAATTACTTCAAGAAAGCAGTATCGTAAACGAAGATACAGTTACCTTAAAATAGTAGTATTTCACATTCAAACATAGTAACATACAAAAAAAAAATAATCCTCTAATTACCATCTAATAATGATAGCTGGACAGTGAAAAGACGAGACTTATACATAAATCCATTTAAACTGACTGTGCTTTAACGCAAAACTTTGCACAGAAGTGTGTCGAGTGTGCCATGCTCCATACAGCCCACAAAAGTGGATAAAAGAAAAGAAGAAAAGATTCAAAGGAACTATAGAGAAAAGAAGAATAGTAACATAGAAAAACAGAAGGGCTGAATGAAAATATAGGAGATCACAGAGAGTGAATACATCAGCGCCACTGAAAACAATTTTGATCCATATCACCATTGATTGATTCTTAGAGTTTCTAGCAACTTAGTAAAACAGTCTGCACCTCCTTACGTGACTCAAACCAACAGTTCGAGACTTCATGGACTGATGCGATGATTTGATTTGACTCTTTTCCAATCTAATCCTATACCAGCCAACATTACTCAATGTGCAAAGCAATAGCTTAGGATTCGTACCACAGGTCTTAGTCATCTGCATCGATGTAGCTTCCCAACCTTATTGTTTGACTTCAACCTAAAAGGAGAATGATGCTCGAGAAGGCTTCGTGTGCTTTTGGAAGTGTGTGGGCGGTTGTTACTTCCGGCTGCCCACACTGTGGAAGTTGATTGATTCTTCGGGTACCTGAAACAGAAAGTGTTGCGTGACCGCAGAGCCCAGGGGACAACTGCTGATCGGTCACACACGGCCTGTATGAATTGGTTTCTGGGATTAGTTCCGTAGAAGCAAACTTAGCGCCGGTTACGGACCACCGTAGGGTAAGTCAGGATATACAATTTTTGGGGTCGGCCTTTTCTAACCGCTTCTCTCCGGAGTGGAGACACAGCATAGCTGGCTGACATGATGGTCATCTGAGAGAAACACCTCACTGCTGTTACACCCCTGTTCCCAGCAATACGACTTCGCCCTCAGACACACAGCATAGTGTAAGAAAGACTCTTACACAATGCCGGCAACTGCTTTTAGTCTAGTCGCTATGCTAACAACCTTCGTGGCATGGTAGGACCTGCAGGAACATTGGTTCCAGCCAGTGCAGCTTGTTGGTTCGTCGCGATGTGCAAGCCCGACCACCACGTCAAGGTAGCAGCTATCGGTCAAGATTCTACCCCTAACGTTATTATCGCTTACCACATCTTACCATTTAACACGAGAGATAGAACACAAACATCCATGGTCAAAGACTGTTAGTCTTTTTCACATCTTCCACTTTCACTGACCATGTCTCACAGTCACAAATGAGGATAGAGAGAACTGCCACAAAGTACGTCGGTAGTCAGATATGACGTCTACGCCATAGACGACGTGCGTAGGCAAACACCACACGAGCCTTTTGTATTCATGTTGAGGCTTCATCAGCAATCAGTCCATTATTGGCTGATACAACTTCCCAATGAATAATAATGGTAAGGAAAAATATGCACAAAGCAAATTATGAAGCATTGCGGCTAAATTGATATGATTATGAGTAATATGATTTCATTCATCAACCTGAAACCTATCTGAAAATCTTCGTCACTCAGCCAATATCAACAACTAAATTCGGTAGGATTTTCAATACAAACAACATCAAGTCAGTCAGTTCTTCTATACGGATCACAAACTTGGCGGGTCACAAAGAATATTTCCAACAGCCTGTTGCAGACCTTCATCAACCAACAACTGTCTTCGCTGACTCTATACTGAAGATCAGATGGCCGGGCCGGAAAGAATCACCAACAAAAAACTATGGGAACAAACAAAACACGAACCAATCGCCAACTAAAAAATATGCAGGAGGAAGTGGAGATGGATTGAACACTCGCTTGCTGAGGAGGCCGCTGGGTGACATCGCGCGCGCCTCAGACCATTGCTCGAGTGGAACCAGGCCAAAAGGAAAGCGACGAGTGGGACGTCAGTGCAAGGGTGACATGGAGGAGATCGTGTGATGTGAAGAGGAGTTGAAACAGTATGGACTAACTAACATGGATGGAGGTGAAAATTACAGCAGAAGGAAGACAGAAGCAAGTGGAGACGTGCAGTTGAAGCCCTATGTTCCACTAGGAACCCAAGAGAGCAATAATAATAATAAATGAGTAATAAAATTGTGGTCAAAATGTCATCCAGTTATTAATACTGTATCACTGTGCACTATATCAAATAAACGTATCTAATATGAAATTACCTTCTACCACAGTTCCCAAGTCCTACACTGACATTGATACCTTATATTCATCGATATTTTAGCAACTGCTAATTAATTATAGTGAAAAACGTAACATTTAAGCATATAAGTAAAAATAATGAAATTCACAAAGACAAAAATCATAATTACACAGAAAATGTCGATAACATACTTGCAGGAACTGATGGATCGTCTGTGTATGATAATGATGCAGGTGGTTGACTAGCGTTTGGATCAGCAACATATTGTCCAATTACAAGATCCTTCATAGTTAAAGGTTCAATACTTCGTAGAACACGAACCTGAAGTTAATGATAGAAATAAAATTTGAAGTAAAAATTTCCTGGAGTTAAGTTGAAGTAAGAAACATCATAGAAATCAATTTCTCACCTGCATATATCAATGGTTAAAGTGCTAAGAATCATAGTAAAAGGCTTCAAGAGTAAAGTCGACTCTGCGGTTATATTGTAACAACAGAAGACAAGGGCCAGGTAACAGATCCTTTATTATGGAAGTCAACACATATTTATAGATTTTCAGGTACATTAATATAGATTATTGTTAGCAGAAAAACACAGTCTTCTGATTGGTTGTTTCTCACCGAAAGTTAACCTTTCATCTCTTTGTGGCTGTTTCTTGAATGTCAGATCATCTATATGCTAATTGTATCCGCCTACGGAAAGCCTTTGTTCTCATTTTTCTGACGACCAATATTGGGGACATAAACATTGACGTAAATTACTGTCCACCAATTTTGACTAACAGCCAGGTCTCATCACAATATTATTAAAATAATATCAGAGTTATTCATAACTGTACTATACAATGGTAAGAATTCCTGATCAGTTAAAAACTATCGGTTTGTGACGGGATATGTCAAGATATCATATTTATTGAGAGAACTGGACTCTTTAGTTCAGTAAAAAAGTTACTTGAACAATTTTGGCTACCCGAAGAGAAGAAAAAGATTTTCTCAAGAACACTGTTTTGTAAATTACGGATTCTTTGACAGAAATAATAGCGATGACTCCAATTTTGCTTTAGGAATATGCTGCAGTTCGTTAGTGATTCAACTAAACTTGAAAATCACATTAAACAATATGTGAATAAGGCTAGAACAACAGTTTCTGCAGAATAATATGGTACCATCATTCATTTCTTTGGTTCCTCATCACCTGCTTACAACCTAAATAAATTATTAAGTTTACGTACAGAAACATTTTTAACAGACTTGCAAATTTTACATGATGTCAGTTGACAGGAAGTTCCGAACTTAGTGAACAGTGCTCACAACATTACGCTTATTTAAAATTTTTACACAGGAAGTTCAAGTTTAAGCAAAGTAAATGTATGCATACAATAGTAAGGGAGTTAAGTATAAAAACAAGAGGTACGTAAGCTTGTGAGTAATTAATAAACTGGGTAACAATACACTGAGTTCAACTCAAGTCATAGAATCCGGTGACAAGCAAAATTACACTATATCAAGGAGGTGAGCTTAAAGCCAAAGATTACGTAATCGAACGAAAGAAAGAATAAAGACATGCAGTTGGTTCCCGTCTATCGAACAAGGTGTTCTGTGATGCAGCAAAATGTCAACAGATACTCTTCTCATGTTAGCTCCAACTGTGAATACAAATTTACGTGTATCCACAGGGGCAGCTGCAGTGGGCGAACAAAAAGAAGGGCACACCTCCGATTTTCTGAGCATGTACCAAAAAGCCTACGTCTCAAGGGAAAAAAAACACTTACAATATTGCCACTACCAGACATCTCCTTAATACGGGTCATGAGATGGAAATCGAGAATTCCTTTAAAATTATCAATAAACGGAAAAGCTCATTTCTTCTCAAGTTTGCCGAAGCAATCTCTACCGAACACCTGAAACTTCAGAAAGAAACAGTAATCAGCCTTTCCTTGCCCCGGTAACTAGATGTCTTTATTCTCCCTTGCATTTGATTATGTAATCTTTGGCTTTAAGCTCACCTCCTTGATATAGTGTAATTTTGCTTGTCACCGGATTCTATGACTTGAGTTGAACTCAGTTTATCGTTACCCAGTTTATTAATTACTCACAAGCTTACGTACCTCTTGTTTTTATTACTTAACTCCCTTACTATTGTATGCATACATTTACTTTGCTTAAACTTGAACTTCCTGTGTAAAAATTTTAAATAAGCGTAATGTTGTGAGCACTGTTCACTAAGTTCGGAACTTCCTGTCAACTGACATCATGTAAAATTTGCAAGTCTGTTAAAAATGTTTCTGTACGTAAACTTAATAATTTATTTAGGTTGTAAGCAGGTGATGAGGAACCAAAGAAATGAATGATCGTATTATTTAAATTCAAATAGGGGAATAAATGTATGAAGGACCATGATATCTGTAGTACCAACAGCTTGAACATTTATTTCTCTCATTCATTCGTAACTATTTAATATGGATTATTAACCTTATAAATTCAAAGAAATCAGTCTGTCTGTCTGTATTCAACATAGAACTTGGCACCGAAGTGCAGTAGTTCGAGTTGCCACGTTCCCAAAACCACACAAAGGTAGACAAGAAGATGATTGAAGAGAATCAATAGAGTTTCACAAGTATATTAGAGAAACAGAATGAGTAATGATAGAAAGGAATATGAAAGATTACAGAGACTGAATGCATCTGCACCATTAACAATGATTTTGAGCCATGTCACCTATTGTCTCCAGCCATTGATTCTTAGAGTCCCGAGGGCCCCAACCCGGAAGTCTGCATCTCCCTCCCTACCTGACTCAGTTTAACTGTCAAGGATTTCATGGATTGATGAGGCCATGTTTTTGTTTGGCCACCACTTACTCTTTTCCAACCTGCACTATATCAGCTAGTAATGCCCGTCGGGGAAGGCGATGGTTAGGCATGCACAGCACGTGACCTAGCCATCTCAATTTATGTAACTTTATAGCCTCGTCGATTGATTTTCCCTCTTTGCCCAACACTCTACGCCTAACGTCAACATTACTTACCTTATTATACCACCTAACGTGAGAAAGAGATCGCAGACATCTATGATCGAAAGCAGTCAACCTTTTCATGTCTTCAACTCGTATTGGCCATGTTTCAGAGCGATAGAGAAGGACGAAGCGAACTGCTGAGCAGTACACATGTCAGTATTTCTGCGTTTGTGTTACGTACCTGGATCTTCATTAACTCATCAACAACTAGGGAAAATAGTAATAATAATTTGCTTTATTTAAAAAAAAACTACTTATGATACAGTGTGGAATTCTCAGTATTCGGTACAATATCGCATGTAATTTACTCAACAACAGCAAAAACAAATATTACGGGATATAGGTAACCGATTTTTATAACAGCAGCTTTTTTGGAATTTGCAGTGAATATATAAAGTCAAAAATGTACAAAAAGTGTAAAATGACGATAACAACGTCAATGGCTAAAACTATAACATAACTAAAATAGTGTCACCATAAAATTACAAATGAGAAGAGGGCGAAGAGGTAATTATTTTGCTAATTACATAGTAAGTAAGTTGTAGGTTTCACGCTTAACACATTCTCCATCACATTGAAGGTGGGTCAAATAAGGTACTGTTAAGTTTTATACTTAGTTGTGTGACCATATAATCTATTATTATGATTGGTAGTCCTACCTAATGAGATGCAAGGGGAGAGTTGTGATTAGAGAGGGTGTTGAGAGTCAGACAATATGCATTTAGGCCACTTCTCGCATGAGTTCAGGTGTCTGTCGACTGCAGTAGCAATGAGCTGACTTAGTAGCACACCACTTTCCCTACTGACAACCTTTATTACTTTTTGCAATATGACATATTCATTCTTGAGTAGGCTAGGAAAGACTATGGAGGAGCCATAAGGAACCATAGGCAAGATGCAAGAGTTAACAGATTGTAAAATGTAGAGGTTGAGTGATTCCTGGTTGTCTTAACTTCTTAATGTAGAAGGTTAGACGGAACATTTTCCTGGAAATCGACAAGATATAGGATGACCAAGAAAAGTTAAGGGAGAGGACTATTCCAAGTTATTTTGTGCTTGACTTACTTTCTGTTTTACTGGCCTCTATGCTCCGAGCACCTTGTGAACAGGCCAGTTCGTGTAGATCACGTTTACGCTTAAATGTGAAGTTAACCGTTTGCATTTCGAGGGATTTAAGGTAATACCAATTAGCTTAGACCACTACCTGGAATAAGACAAACGTTATTAAATTTGGAATAGTCAGATCGAGACGTAACTAGCAGCAAGACGGTCAGATCATCAGGTTATTTAACAAAGTTGGTTTCTTCTGAAGAAGGAAAGTTAAGTAAGCAGAAATAAAAAGGAAGAGAAAAGAGAACAGCACACAGAGGAACTCTAACTACGGTGAGCAGGGCAGTGGGAGATTTCCTTTGTATAAAATATGCTGTATTCTGTTAGAGAAATAAGAATGCAACCAGTTAACAGATCAGGAATGTGTTTGTGTCAGGGAAGGCTTATTTAACAAAAGGCGTTTGGGTACACAGTCAAAATCGGCTGTGCAGTCAAAGAAGGCACCTCGGACATATTTGGCCGCTTTGTCTAAGCAGGAAACAATATAATGATGTCAATTTGTGGTACACATTCATTACTGACATTCTTGAATTCAAAAGCTATCTAGTAAAGCATTTTGTGACAAAATCTACATTGAATAAAAATGATGGTAATAACAAACCTTTACACAAATATAACGGTCGTATGGCCTTCTAAGCATTGTAAAATCAACTCAGTTATGATGAATTCCCTAGATACCAGTACCAGTAGGTGAGATTTTATATGAGTACTGTTATTCCCGCGTCCGTGGTTCAGTGGAAGAAAAAGGGCATAATATTTAGAACATATCCAGTAGCTGAACTGCTTCTCCTTCATAAAGCAAACTGCCTAACTACACAGTTCAAATAAGACCAGATTTTGATGTTCATTAACTTCACCTGTCCTTATGAATTCAAGTGTACATGCGGTAGAAAGAGTATAAGAAGAACTGAGAGAATGTTGTCTACTACGATTGTTGAAGACGTGCTGAAAAGTGTACGTCTTAGAGATTCAGCTTTTTGTATCTACTCTATAGTTCGCGACCTGGATGATACAGGACATCAGACTAACATTTCAGAATTGTTAAAGTTGGTGAACAGACAAAGTATTTTACAACTACTTCGAATTTCTGAAACTGTCAACATCAGAATAATGAAGCCTAAATTATATATTCATGAAGAAAGTATTGTTAATTTTTTTATTGTGAAGTCAGTGCTACTATACGGATCAGAGACTTGGCCAGCGCGTCATAAAGAGCATCTCAAACAAACTACAGACCTTCATTAACAGTTGTCTTCGCTCAATACTCCACTTAAGATCAGACGGCCGATCAGA